GGGTGGCAGAACTTTTGTCTTTCCCTTGTGTTTGGTGGAAGGAGTGTGCTGCACCACTGCGTTCTTGTTGTTTTTTTCTTAGAATCATAGAGTTAATCACAGAATGGCTTAGGGTGGAGGGGGTCTTAGAGATGCCTAGTTGCAACTCTCCTGCTATGGTCTGGGTAAATCTGCCTTTGCTTCTTTCTGAGCCTGTCTGGTGATTTATGTAAGAGTGGCCCAGGTACTGAAACAAGGGAATGGCTTTGGGCTAGGAGGGAATGGCTAAGGGCTGCAGCAGCTTCCATCCAAGGCAGAAGTTTAAAGCAAATACAAAACAGTGATGATACCAGCATGCTGATGGTGAGTCACCATCATCAGTCAGAAAAACTCTTTGCAATGCTGGACCTTTATTCGGCTTTAGCATCCCTTTCAATTTGAGGGGATGCTGTTCTTCAGCTGAGGTTGCACAGCTAAGTGACAGCTACCTGTTGCTTCAAATGCCTGTATTTCATTGTCTGCCTTATTAGGGTGGTTTAGAGACTTCATGTTCGTGTAAGCAGCTGTAGATCATTAATTAATAAACATCCTGGTAAATAAGCTCAGTCAATGCCCTTTGTTGTGCTTTTGTGCCTTTAGCCACTGCAGTAAGGTAAAATCTTAGGTTTGTCTCAGTTTCCAGTGCTGTTTGGGTCAATTCTGTTTAGCCACAGAGGTCACCACCTCTTTGCTTTTAATATCTATATGGATTTATGAATAATATATCTGTAAACATAATGGGAACTGATGATGATATTTCTCTAAAATTAGATTTGTTCCTCTTGTAATCCAGTTTTCTTCTCCTTAATGGGTAAGTCATAATGGAAATGAATATGAGAGGATATGATGCTGTAGCTAGATTGATTTTTCCATGTAAATACATTGCAGGCTGTAGTGCATGTTTCTTGAGAGAAAAATTCAACTAACGCACCGTGGTTTTACTCTTCTTTTGAGTTACGAAGCCGGTGGTTAAATGACCGAGAAGTAATTAGATGTAAAAATTCCACATTGAAGAAACTCTTAAAAGTGTTCTTCCTTAGAATGACAGCCCACTTGTGCATCCCAAGTGAGCACCTACGTGCAGCAGTCACTTGAGACCGAAGAATATTTCTCTTGAACTGCTGAAGCTGGATGTGCTTGTACTCCATTCGTTCTCATTCCACAAACACGAGCCTACAAGGCAGGATAAAGATGTTGCTGTTTTAGTTCCTCTCTAACATCTTCTTGAGCTGAAGTGCTCTCTATGCTGCATTGTAGCGTGTTTCTCTTGATTATTTTTTTTTGCCACTGACATTATTTTTCCCCATTGTGCAGTTTGTGAGACCAGAATTCTGTCCTTTCTGTGGGGTAGCTCATGGGAGGGATGGGCTCATGGTAGTTGCTCCAGGAGTAACTGGTTCCCCTCCTTTGGGCATGGAAGTACTGGGCAGGGGATGGAGGGGGTTGAAAAAGGGTTTTAACTTTATCCTCACTCCTTTGAGCATGAAGAAGACGTGCTTGATGCAACCATGCAGAAGGCAGATAGTGGGCTGTGCAGTCTCTCCTTAAGGAAAGAGCTTGCTTTAGTAAGCAAACGCAGTGTCCCAGTGTTCTGTCTATGTGCACTGAGGCACTTTGCAGGTTATACTTTCATTAGATGTGTGAAATGTTGTGTGGTGTTTTGTAAGTCTGGGTAACTGTTGTTTTTAAGTATGGGTGGTTCAAGCTCGTGAGACTGCTCGAGCACTTTGCTCAGCTGGGGCAGAAATGGGAAGGTAGCATTTTGTCTGAGCCTTCTTAGCTTAACTTTCATTTGCTTATATATATATGTATATATATATATGTATGTATATATTCCAGGTTTTTATGGTTTGGATTGAAATGCAGCTGAATTATCTTCCTATTTATTTTTTTTTTTGTCTTAAGCAATCACTGGAGCAGGTTGGCTGTATAGGTAATGCTGTGCATTTATTTACTGCTGTGTATGTAATCTTATGTCTTGTGTGCAGACTGCAGGGAAATCTTGCTGCCAACAATGACAGATCAGCTCAAGTATCACTTGGAAAGACAAGAAGATTTGGAGGCTTGTTGCCAATTGCTGAGTAACATCCTGGAAGTGCTTTACAAGAAAGATGTGGTTAGTATCTCATGTTTCTGTGAAGATTAGCATTTAAAAGAAATGAATCTTAGCAGAACTGATTCAGCAGGTAACTCCTGATGACTTAAATTCTTTTCTGTCTCCTTACCAATCTCTTTTAAGGCTTCTTTTTAGGTATACAATGACAAGGATGTTTTCCCTGACATCTTGTGATGTTTTGTATTGTTTCTGAGGCGACTCCAATCACCACTGCAGTCTAAGAACACTTTTACAGATGCTGGTTAGTGAGAAGGATACATAAGATTGAGAGAGAAACCTCTTTCTTACACAGTGTTTAGCCTCTGCCTGGTGGGAAGTACTTGAAATCCCCATCCACCCAAGCATTTTGGGAAATGCACGTTTGAATGATCTTGAAGGTGGCCCTGAAGGTGCATATACATGAACATGTAGTTTTGTGAATTTAGCAAACTTATTTAACTTCTTAACATGCTGTTTAAGCTTACATAGTAGAATTCTACACCTTATTAAGAAATAACCAGGATTATTAACTCGATGAACCTTGTGCATCCCTTCCAGCTGAGTTCTGTGGGTAGGTGACTGCTTCTGCATGAGTGCTACAGCTAATATAGTGATCTTACAGAAATGGCAACATCTTAAACTGAGACAGAGGAGGTTTAGGTTGGATATAAGGAGGAAGCTTTTCAGCCAGAGGGTGGTGGGGCACTGGAACAGCTTGCCCAAGGAGGCTGTGGATGCCTCATCCCTGCAGGCATTCAAGGCCAGGCTGGATGTGGCTCTGGGCAGCCTGGGCTGCTGGTTGGTGACCTGCACATAGCAGGGGGTTGGAACTGGATGATCATTGAGGGCCTTTTCAACCCAGGCCATTCCATGATTCTATGAAATGTCAGGCAGCTGCACCTGCAAACCTGTGAGTGCTCTGGGCAGGCGTGCAGATGTGCAGCTTGCATAACTGTCTTTTTTTTTTCTGTCTTTTCCTGACTTTGCACGAATATGCAAACGTCGCTCATTTGCTGGAGAGCTGTAATCATTTGATGCTGTCTTAAAGAAGCTGTGGCTGCTGAGGCTGCTGCGTGAATCTTCAGCCCTGTGTAGAAGCATGCAGTCCTTCAGCTGGAAGGGACCTCTGGGGTCACCTGCTCACATCGTACCTAGCATCTTGTTTGACTGTTTTTTGGGAAGCAAAAAAAGAAAAACTGATTTTATTTCTTTTTTGAAGTAGTGCTGTCTGAGTGCTTCAGAAAGTAGGTTATATTCAAAAGGGGATTTGTTTTTGACAGCCTTGCTGCTTCTTGTCAGTCCGTGTTGACTGTCTTTCTTCCCATGGCAGCAGGCAACCTGCAGCCCTCCCATCTCTGTAGCTGAGCCCAGAGCTGCCCCGCATGGCTGCTGATGGAGAAGGGAGCAGGGAAAGGAAGCAAAATGCAAGTGAGGAGGAACACAAAGTAAAATGACAGACAGGAGCAGCAAAAGTGCAAGGCACGTGGAGAGGAGGAGGATCTTTGAGATCAGGGAGAGCTGAAAGATAGAGCAGGGTACTGAGATGCACATGTTTCAGAAGATGCTGGAGTAGCATCTGGAATAAGAATAGCACTGGAATAGGCTCCCCAGGGAGGTGGTTGAGTCACCATCCCTGGATGTGTTTAACAACCATTTGGATGTGGTGCTCAAGGATGTGATTTAGCAGAGGGTTGTTAGTTAGGGTAGTATGGTTAGGTTGTGGTTGGACTTGATGATCCTTAAGGTCTTTTCCAATTTGAGAAATTCTATGATTCTGTGCTCTTTTTACTGGAATTATAAGCTCTAACCCAAAGATGTATCTGTCAGCAATGGGAAGGAAAATCACATCAGAGCAGTAGTTGTGTATGAAGAGATGATGGATCACTCTTTGAATATGCAGATGCATTCTTCATGTATGCAAGCCTACCTTTGGTAATTAAGCATAGTCAAATGATAAGATGCAGGTTATATGATTCCAAGGGCAAGAAAGAAAATGGATCATCAGAGTGTTTGTACAGTAGTCAAAAAGCAACACAAAGATGCTGCTTCGTTTAGATAACTTTGTGGGAAAATGCTTCCAAATGCTGGCTGTGGCTTTGTTGCACCTTCCCATGTCACAGCCCTCTTTGGAAGTCATCCACACTAACGGGAACTACCCCTGCTTATGAAATTCAGACTACCCTGTGATGTTTGTTGTGTGTTTTTTTGTCATGTGTTTTTTGGCTTCAGTTCCCATAGGCAGTGTTCTGCATGAGGTTTCTGACCTTTTTCTTCCAGATTGGTTGTGCAAAATGTTTTATTTTCAATATTCTGCCAAAAATAATGGCAGGTTACTTATAAGGCAGAAATATTAATTTGATGTAATTGGCTGAAATTGAAATTCATTGCCTAAAGTTTTCCTTTGGTTTTCTTAGTTCCGTTTTTGCTAAGATTTTGCATAATAGCTCCTTAGACATGATAACGTGCTTCTGATGGTGGGAAAAATGACTTAAGACAATAAAATCAGGTAACTAAATGTCCTGGTCATTGCTTCCATGCACTTGCTTTCCATTTAGAAAACTGTAACAGTACTACTAATACATTTATTAGTAAAATGTTAATAAGATTTTGCATGGTCTTTAAAAAAATGAAAACAGCAGAGATTAATTTTCTGCTTTTGATCAATAGAAGTAAGTACTGTTTTATCTATCTTTCACAAGAGAGGTTGTTTTAACTCAGATGTTTGTTTTTCTACTGGTGTACAGAGTTCAAACTAATTCATTCTTTTTCCTTAGGGGCCAACACAACGACATGTCCAGATAATCATGGAAAAGCTTCTGAGGACAGTAAATAGAACAGTCATTTCCATGGGACGTGATTCAGAGCTCATCGTAAGTGTCTCCTGATGTAAACTTAAATACCTTTGTCACATCTTTCTGTACCTGAATGTAATAGGATTTGAATCCCAAGTGATCCAAAGCAATCAAAACCTTCTGTAACTGTGTGTGTTCAGTAAGCAGTAGAGCATTGGCTTGTAGTTTGTGTGTAGCATGTGTAAGGGGACAGGAAGAGTTCTGGTCAAACTGGGTTTTCCATCTCTCTGAATGGCTGACCTCGTGTTCTGCATTCGAGCTGCTTGGATTCTGGGTTAGAGTCAGGTTGAAATTATGCCTTTTCTTTTATCACTACCAGAATTGTTTTACCCAAAATTCGTATTGGAGAATTGCTCCTGCAGGATGAGAAGAAGGAAGGAGTTTAAAGATGAGCGATACCATAGAAGCATAGTTGAAATAATAACTTTTTCATAAGCAATAAAATCAGGGCATGTGCATATGCAATTTGCTTCTTGTGTAAATACTGGCATTCAGCAGTTGGCATGTTTTCACCTTGAAGCAGTAGCAATGTCATCTTCAACTGAAGAGCTGATGTTTACTTCTCTAGAAGAGAACTACCTACCTGCTTGGGTCCTGCTTTGATTAGCACTGGCAAATGAGAGCAGCAGTCTTGTTCATATTTGGAACTTGATTCTAATTTCAGTGCCTCATGGGATGCCTGAACTGTGTGATCGCTAAGGATAAATACTGAAGGCATTTGCTTTCTAGATATTGTTCCCATTTAAATTACTTGCTGGGTGCCAGTGCTTGTGGGGCTGGAGATGTGCTGTGTGTGTGATGTTCTTTGGCATTAGTGAGCAGAAGTCTTCAGCATAGCTTCAGGTTGCTGTATGTGCTAATGTAAGAGGAATACTGAATTTACTGTTGCAGGAGACAGTGTAATTAGAGTCTATTACAGATGCTGCACATAATTACAGTAGTTTTCTCCCCATTAAAACATTCAGATAGGGTTTTGTATGTCTTTTTTTGGAGAAACGTTGAGGAAAAGTGAATGGGCTGTAGTTCCCACTTGACCAAATCCTGTCCTTTGCAGTAGGCAGGGATGTGGGCACATACAGTGTTGTGAGGACCCACATGGAAACATGGTGAGATTTGTTTCTCCGTGGGATTCCTCAGCATTCCTCATTGGTTCAGGAAATGAGAGAGAATTTTGTTAACTTTTGCCATATTTCAATGTGAATACAGGTAAAAAGCTTTTAAAGGTTTTTGTGCTTCTGGCTGCTTGCACAGGCTGGTTCAGTGAAAGCAGTGAATTTATGGACTTGGAAATTAGGGTTTGTTCCCCACTTGGCACATCAAATAGATTTCAAGATGAAAAAAGTCAGATTGCCATTTTAGTACTTGTTATTTCGGAGTGTGGTTTTTCTTCTGGAAGTCTCACTTGGGTGATTCTGCTCGATCTGTTTGCTAACTGAAGCAGAGCTGCTGTGCAAGTTTTTCCCAAGAAAGGTGAGACCTAGAGACAGCTTCTAACAATTCTCATCAAAACTACAGCTGGTTACTAACAGTTAGAATTTGAAAAGGTAATTTTGGCCTTGTAAGTGACCCGGGTATCAGAAGGAGCAGAATTTTGCCTCCTGTACAATCTCTTGTCCCTTCTGACTCCATTCCTGACGCACTCTTTACTAATCTCTGGCTTTGATGAGCAGTGCAGTGCAATCTGTGGTTCCTTTACTTTGTGGAACAAGCATCGTTTCATTTTGCTAGAGTGAAGATGTAGCTTGGAGGGGGGTAGGAAGTGGCTGTGCTGCTGTGAGGGTGTCTGAGGAGCTCTGAACATCATTGGGTCTCTGGTGAAAAGCCAGCTGAACGCCCACTGTGACACCTTTAAATTCCCTTGGGCTGTGTGACAGGGGAGCAGTGGGCAGGAGGGGACTTTGTGGCTCTAGCAGTAGGTGCAGTGTTTCCCATGGAGCTTCTCTTTCCTGCCGTATTTTGGAAAAGAATGCAGTGAAACCAAGAAGTGAGGAGCCGCAAAAGTGATCAGAAAGTAAAGGTTTCAATGTGATACACTTCAGCCATCTGATGTTAATGGAAGGTTTAGAGGTGCTGCTCAGATATGGTGGGAGAGAATCTCTGCAGGGTGGAAATGACACCGGGCAGAGGGAAGAAGTGGAACTGATGACAACATGGGAGCAAGAAGTGTAAAACAGCAGAACACAGCACTGATGTGAGGAGGGAAGACTGAAATAATAGATGGTGGTAGATGCTGTCTGTTGTCTTTTCAAGTCAGGGATGCCTTTCCAGAAGTGAAATTTGAGGTATTGATGGTCACAGGAGAGTGTTCTGAAGCTCACCTTGTTTATGAGTTGAAGCTAGAGGATGTAAATTATCTTTCTAAACCCAAACTTCACAGATAACAATGCTTGGCATTCCAAAGCATTAAGCAGAAAACTTCATTTTCTTCACTAGACTATTAGGGGGTAAAATTTTTTACTTTATTGAATTGCACATTTTCTTTTCATGTGGAAGCATTTGAAGTGGTGTTGCAAACTTATTTCACAACCTGTTCCACTGGCCCAGGCTGCCCAGAGATGTGGTGGATGCCCCATCCTTGGAGGCTTTTGAGGCCAGCAACCTGCTGGAGCTGTGGTGTCCCTGTTCATTGCAGGGGAGTTGGACTTACAAAATGTCCCTTTCACCTCTAAGGATTCTGTGATGAAAACTGAAGAGGATGGTGGTAATGGTTTTGTTCTGCCACTGATATCAAGCTGCTTTAGAATGGTAACACCACCAGTGCAGCCAATGGGTCTGGGCTGTGCGGTGCCAGTGCTTATCTGAACCAACTGCATGCACCTTCACTGCTCAGCAGCTCATTTCCAGCTCTCCAGTGACATTAATAAGCCCCACTTCTGTGTTATGGCTGCTGAAATAATGCAGTCTCTGTCTTTCTACAAGAACAGAATTGCACAGTAACTGGTTAAGAGATTCCAGGAGCAATGTGCAGTGTGTGCACGCAGGTGCTGAAGGAATGGGGCTGTCAGTGGTTTGGGGTTGGAAGTGTTCCTGAGAAACAAATCTGTCCCGTTTTAAATACCTGATGAACCATTAACACGCTGAGTGAGATGACCAGCACAGACGGTTTTGCACCTGAAGCAAGAAAAAGCAAACACTTTGTACTGATGGTAGGATTTTTCAGTTTTAATCATGATTTCTTTCTCAGTTTATCCTGATTGTTAAACTGTTTTTACAGTGATTTTTTTTTTTTTTAATCCTCCTTTAAGAAAACAAGTGATACGTACATGAATAGTGTTTCCTAGTAGTTATAAAACAAAGAACTGTTGCTTAATGGCAATGATACGGACTCGGAAAATAGCAAGTAATATAAAGTCACTGCAGTATTTATTGACTAAAAATTAGTTTCAGCGTGATATGAGAGAAGTGCATGTAGCAAATCAGTGTGTGGAAGGGCTGTCGGTGAATTTGGCAAAACTATGTCATGTGCCACACTGAAAGTGAAGATGTATTTTTCTCTGCTATCACCTCATAGCTGAGTTTCAGGTGTTCTGCACGAGGGTGAAAAGAGCATCATGTCACGTTTAACAAAAGCTCTAAAGAATGAGGATTCTCTCTGCTTACCTAGGCTGAGCCTGAGTGGTTCTAAATGCAATACAATATGATACTTTTTACACACTTGCAAAAACATTTTATTACAAATTACATCGTATGGTAGGACAGAACACGGTATGTAAGTCTAAGCAAGACTAGATGCATGTCGGCTTTTCCTTTTTTAAAAAAATGTAAAAAATTAAAAATCTGCAACTCTTTAAGAAAATAGCCTGAACATGTCCAGAACACGCCGTGAGAACCTTCCCTTGCAGCTCTCACGTGTTCCACCGGTGAGATTTCCTCCGTGGTGTGACATGCATACAGAACCCTGGGCTCTGAGCGAGGCAGAACCGCAGACGGAGCAGCTGAGCTTTGTGTCAGTCCCTGCACGTGAGAACATTTAGAACAGGTTGATGGGGAAAGCTGCTGATGAGGTGACTCTAACGATTTGTAATTGGTTGCCACTGTGAGATGCTTGATTTAATTTCTTTAATTAAATGGCGCGTTAGCTTATATAAATTCGTAAATGATTGGCATTATTTTGAAATGCTGAATATCGTTGTGTCTTTTTGTTTTACCCATGTTTGATATTTCATTTTAGGGAAAAAAAAACAGAGATTTTCTTGTTTGGAAGTAATTGGGTGGGTTTCTAGAGCATGTGAGGCGAGCTGCCTCGTAAACAGCTTTGTATCTTTAATTAAAAATGATATAAAACACACGAAACACACTTCTTCCTCGTGAAACAATGCACTTCTTTCCTGGTACACAGGGTCCGGTCACCTCATTTGATCCTTCACCTTTCAGAGTATTTCAGGGTATTGTCTATGTACGTACAAGAACTCGTAGCCCTCTTGAAGTTTCCTACAAAGTGACCTTTTCAGTTAAGCACACTGAAATTCATTTGGAGGTGGACATTGACATCTTCTGCGTGTCTGTTCCCATTCTAACTTCCTTTTCTTACCTTTTCCCCGTAGCAAACAGGCATGTGTTTCTCCTCAGATTTTCTTGTAGCTACGGGCTGGATGTTGAGCTCAGAAAAAAAACAGTGTCAATGAAAACATTTCAAGTTTGGTAGTATGTGCAAACTCATCTGCTACTCATGGTATTTCTACCACCTATAGACTAAGGAATTCCTGTCTCAGTGATGCTGCAGGGTGTGAAATCTCAAAAGCAAATCTTAGTAAAGCAGACTGCCACGTAACTCCGTACGACTTCTTAAAAAAGACCCAACACAGCAGTATTCCCAGTCCCTGTCCACTTCCAGTGTGAGATGTGGTCGTTGTAGATATGAGCTTAATGACAGCAACAAGTACTTAAAGGAAACGTTTTTCAGTTTATAATTCAGAGCAACGTGAAAAGAAGGAATAAAAAGGAAAAATAATCAAACGTTTCCTCCGTAGGAGAGTGCTGGTCACTTAGTACAATTAATAGATATGGGTATAAATTGTAATGTGTTGGTTGAGAAACCCAGCTTGGTAAATAAACAGCTTCTAAAATTGCTGCTCCTTCCAGGCAGGTTTCACAGCACAATGCATACTATAAAATTTATGGTGCCTTCTGCAGTAATGTAGAGGTTTTCCAAAGACTGCCTTAGAAAAAGATACTAAATCATGGCAAGTGCCAGCAATCCGTAGAACTTTTTATTGTTCGTTTTGTGTTTTTCAGATTGTTGTCTTTTTTTTTTTCTGTGCCAGAATGTGTCGTTTAGAGCTTTGGGGCAGCAAAAGATTAAAAGGGAGATTTAGGACGGCTTATTGTCCTGTAGCCTTGACCCTGTCAGCTTGGTGTGGTTAAGGCTTGTCCTGATTTGGGACATTTCTCACTGCCCACCTGCTGGTGACGGGCAGCAGCCTTGTTTGCCTGGTGGTGAGGACACAGCTAAATTAGAACTGATGGTGCGTTGTCAAAATGTGATAGCTTGGCTGAAGTCTACAACACATGAAGGCAAATATACACATAGTCACATCTCAGAGAGTATTCATGGTCTTGGACCACATGAAAAATTGTGCTTTGTCCGGGATAGATGTGCTGAAAACTGCACTCCCCAATCAACATGGATTTGTAAAACTGAAGATCACTGCATACATAAGGCTTGCTTGCTTTTTTTCTTTTTTTCCCCCCTCGTTATTTAAAGACAATAAACCAAACCCCCAAAAGGCTTTAAAACAAAAGTGATATTTAGCTGTGTACAGGATGACAGCCTACGATTTAACAGGTTAGAATGTGATGCTCTCAGATCTAAGGGAGGGGGAGGGAATAGTTTTCCTTTCCATCTCAGTATAAATTTCAATTCAGGTTTTACATCCCACATTGGTGAACCGCAAATAAAAGCTGACGAGGTGTCACATCACCCCTTGCTTCTGAACATGAGTTTGTAGGTACAAAGGCCTTTTTGGTACATACGGTGAGAACTGAACGCTGCCACAGTAGTCAGAACAGCACGGGCCGGTGACACGGAGCAATGCACCGACATCCCTTGGAGATGAGTGACAGAACTCCAAATATATTTCAGAGAAGGCCTTGAACTCCACAGTTAATGGACTTGGTTAAAGGAACCAGAGTTTCCATCTTCCATGCTTTTTTGATTCAGTTTTGGATTTTTGCTTGGGAGTTGAGGAGTAGCTCTCCTGAGAATAAGGCAAAGGTGCAACCTGAGTTTCCTCAATAGGATGAAGTTTTCTCAAAACTGGCTGTAGTTTATCTTCTTGCTGCTTGAAATCCAATTCCACACTAAAAATGAGAAGAAAAGGCAATCAGCTACTGCATTACGATGACAGTACTATTTCAATTAAAGCAACATCTGACAACACTACGGAAAGGCTTAATTTATTAAACTCAAATACAGAATAAACACTTCAATTGCTGCAGCAATTCTTAAACGTGGAACTGGAGGGAGAAAGATGAGACATGGAAAGATGATGTTAAATGGGATCCTGATGCCTTCTTGCTGTGCAGGAGGGCTCTGTCTGTGCTCCTGGGCTCTGTGCCTCCTGCTCATGCTGCTCCTCCATAGGTGAGGAGAACTTTCTTTTGATAAAAGCCATTGACAAAAAGGCCATCGTGGCATTTTGTTGACCCTGGCTTGTTTCTTTCAAGCTTTACCATGAGTTAATTTCACCAAATTGACTCCTGACTACGAGTCCGTCGTAGTTATGTACTCCTCTGTGATAAGTTAAACGTTAAGAACTTAATTCTCCCATGCACTGCAGAACTTCTCCATATGCTGATAGCCCTGTAGGAAGGGTAGTGACACAGAACCTACTTAGCCCCTGCTGTGAGTGAGTACTGGGACGGAAACATCTACGGATGGAGATCTATTTATTTAGCTGATTGGAAGGACCCATTTCAGTAATAGAGTGTACTTGTTTTTTTGATTTGCTATTAAACGTAGAAATAAGGGAAATACTCATTTCATCCTAAGTTTGGAATCAAAATGTGTACTTAAGATCCAGGCTACTCCTTCTGAATTCTAAGCGCTCTCGACTACAAAATCCTACTAGCAATTAAGAAATGTCATAAAGATGAAATTATAACTCTTATTTCAATAGAGAGAGCTAGAGATTCAAGTTTAGCTAATAAAACACAATATGAACTTCAGTAAAACCTTACTTCTATCTGATACTTAAAACCCAAATCGAGGCTACTTACTTTCATATACCATGAAATGTCTCAGTTGCATTTGGTATGTCAACCTCTGGCTGAGCCCTACAGTGACTCTTTTCATCCTGCCTTGGACGTTACATTGCAGCTGGGTGTTGAAGGGTAAATTTAGGAAACAGTGACATTGATGGCATGTTAGGAACAAAGACTGTAATTTCTTTCTTCCCTGCATGTTGCTTGTTGTATTAAAATGAACATTTGTTTTGAACATACGCACATTAGAGCAGCATCTGCAAGGAGTGAATTTGCAGTAGGTCGCAGTGTTGGATATCCTGATACTACAAAGACAGTTCTAAGACCACTGAATCTACTGTTCATCCTTGCTGATGAAGAACATGTTCATTTTTCCAGTTTAGCTTGCAAAAAGCTCTTCGTTAGATAACTGTGACATGAATTTTGTGGGAAGATTCATCAATCAATTGTAAACAGCCCACCACGTTAATGCTCTCAGTAACACAGTGAAAGAATCTCAGGATGAAATAGATTCTGGCGTTGGTAGAGGTCAATTCAAAATGTTATTCTTGCATTCAGCTGGGAAAATCTCTGAAGAACTGCTCAAAATCAGTGTGAGAAATACTTTACTTTAAGGAAGCCAACAACCCAACAAACAGAAACCCCACAACTTTTGGAACAGAGCAACTTTCTTCAGAATGGATTTCTATTGGAGGCAGACTTTGAGAGGAGAACTCTTAGTTCTGGTCCAGACAAATTCTCTGCTGCATCACTCTCTATTCACAGCTTATTGGAGGCTGTTTTTTTTGTTTCCATCAATTTACATCAAAATAAAATCTTTCTTCTGAGAACTAGAAAGAGGATGAAAGAAAACTGTATTATTCCAGCTTTTGCAGCTGCATACATTTTGTAAGAATTGTTATCTATCAGGATCAATTTATTTAGCTTTGTAGGTGTTCTGATGTAACTATTCCTTTGAGGCAAATGATTTTGTCTGCTTGTGAGCTTGGGATGTGAGTGTACTGTTGAAATAAGACCGAAGCCTCCTTACTCTGTCGTTTTTCATCTCTCCCTGACTCAGCTGTTGCTGATTTCACTTTTGGTTTTAACGTTCTATCAAACATATGGAATGCTATTAAACTCAGCAAGCATTACGTATTTGTGTGACCTCTGCGTGTTTTTGTTACGTAGTGCTGGATACTCCCTACAGACTGTTCCCCTATCTTTCCAATTCTTGCATTCGTGAACTTGTTTGCGTCACCTGTCACAGCTCTGACAGCTTCACTCTGCTTAGTGATGTTTTTATCTCCCAAGTAGCTGTAGGTTTCCTCTCGAAACGACCTTTCCCTGAGATGCTCTCTGTGCCATGTGGCTCTTTCCACTTTCAATTTGTCTGTTTTCATCTCTTCAAGTGTCCTCGTGGTAACTCCATCAACTGAATTAGTGAGGGCCGTATGTTCTTCTGGCTTTATTCATTATGGAGGTTGTTGGCTTTGGAAGTGCTTCTCCATATTGAGAGGACAGAATATATTTTTCAGTAGTTAGATTGGCAATTATGAATAAACCCTACAAAAACAAGAGGTGAATCTGAATATGACAAACGGTTCTGGTGTCACACGTGTACCTGGGGCATGCAGTTTGGAACACTGCATCACAGTGTCTCCATTCTCAGTGCCTATCTCAGTTTTTTCCTTTGTGCAGCACATTGCACAGAATGGGCTGTTTTGGTTTTTCTGAGCGCCTATAGACAGCATTGTTTTGTCTGTGATAAAAAAATTCTGCTTTTCTGTCTTTTTTTTTTTTTTTCCCTGAGAGCCACCATATATTCACAGGGTTTGTAACAGAATCTTGGCATTTGCACGTGAACCAGTGTTTGCATGTATGTCAGTCCCATGAAAATTTGGCCAAAGGAAATCAAACAGCAGACCTCTGAGAATTGTGTCATTAAGCACAGGCGAGAACTTTGTAATTAAAATCTCTGAAATCCTGTCACACTGTGCCAGTTCTGGTCCAGGACTGATCAAAAGCATTGCTGCAGTTGCAGCTGTAGATGCTGTCAGTGTGTGCCTGACTGAACCCCTGAGCACAGGACCCCATGTCTGCTTCTCCAGTTCTGAGTTCTGCTCAGGACTGATACTGGTGCAGAGAGAACCCAATGTGTGATCACAGTCTTTCTTTTTTTTTTTCCTTTTCTTTCCCGTTTCCTGGGCCCTGATGTTATTTACTGCACAGCATGTGCATGCAGTGAAGCCCAGCAGAAACGTGAGTCAGGGTCTGGTCTGTCCATAGGAAGCATCATTCCCTTGCTGTGCAAGTTTGGTTTGCAGCGAGCGAGGCGGCGTTGCCTTGAAAATTATTTTCATTCCGTGATGTTAATTTCAGAATTGTAGTCAGCAGGAACCTCTGTGGGGTTTCTGTGTTTGTTTTTGCTTTGGGCTCAGTGTCCCCCAGCCTCTGCTTTCGGTTTGTGAAATGGAAGCTGTGCATTCTGAAAGCAGTGCGGACTTAATCCTGGAATGCCGAGTTCTCCAGGATAAACTCAGAGCACTTTTCTGTGCAGGGTGAGGACACCAGGTATCCTGAACAGCTGCTCAGCCACGTATGGTGCACGTGGGTTAAATGCAGTGCTTTCCAGAGGTGTTAGGGCTGTGTCCCTACCTGGGGCCCACTGCAGGATAAAGGAAGCAATACTGAGCCCTTCCCAGCTGCAGCCAGGCGGGCAGTTTGGATGTCCCGTCTCGCTCAAGGCATGCACACAACATGGCCAGCTCCTTCAGACTTTTGTGGTTAATCCCATTTTCTGAATCTTAGCACTGTGCATTAGGGATTGGTGTGCTGGATTTTCTGTTTTTGGCTTTGTGATTTTTTTTTTTTTAATGATTTGAGAATACATGTTAATGAGCGTGTTTATTTTTTGCACGCTGGCAGCAGAGTGAGCTTTTTCTAATTCTGTTGCTGTATATGGGATTGAAAACAGTTTGAGGAGTCATAACCACTTGGTTTTAAACATACGGGACGTGGGAGGATATCTAGCAACAAGCTCAGGAATTTGGATGGGCTTTCTTTTTTAACGTAGTCACACGTTATTAATATGCATCATTTTAAGATACTAGATACTAACAATCTGATGTGTTGCTTACTTGTAAGACTGCAGAATCAGAATAACCCAGTTTCAGGGCTGTGTTGCTTGGGTCCTCTATCCAGTCACCTCTTGAGAGCACCAGGGATGGAGCTTGCCCAGGCTCTGGGCAGTTAGTCCCTCTGCTTTCACCTTCAAGGAGCAAACCTTTTTCTCTCTGTTCAACCTAAACCTTCCTCATTTCAGTTGGCATTGCCTTTGTTTACCTTGTTACTATCTAGTTTGCAGTGTTAAGGCCCAAATCCTACAAGCATTTGTAGAGCAGCTTAACTCTTTGCATTTAAGTAGGCTAGGTGAAACAGGAATTAAAGAGTATCATTGTGTCTCCTAGCTGCATTAATAGGATGACATGGAATTAGTGCATGCTGCATCTTGGAAGAACAGGATCCAGATAAGCATTAAGAACTTGAAAATTAGCTTAATACACTTTTAAACAATCTTTAAAAATTTCCTATTTTAACCTGAATATTACAAATGCCCAGGATCCATAGCATTGTCAGTGCTGGCAAGCCATTAAGATCCATTTTTCAACCAAGAATCTTACAGTCTAGAGATAAGAATTGTGTGAGAAAGAGCACAAATTTGTTACCGTGGGTAGGAAATAAAAAGATGGTGAAAATTACTATTCTGGTCATTTGGTTCCCTGATTTTACTGTACTGATAATATCTTAGGAATTTATGTCTACTTGTCTTACTTTGCATGCCATCTTTATATATTTTCCTAATTATCAGTGTATCTAACATCTTCATAAGAATGGCTTCCAGGGGTTGCTGTGCTGCCTCCTTGATGTACGTAGCCATGATTTTAACCTGTAATGGTGTATTGAGAGTGCTCTCGTCATGTTTTCAGCTGAGTAGCTGGAGCTTGCCATGCAGTGTCAAAGACAAAATTAAATGCTGAGAAACAGCCTGTTGCTCAGGCCTGTGCTCGTATTGCAGTTGCTTTTGTGCTGACAACATGCCCTAATAAGACTCGTCTGTTTCTAAAAATATTAGTGCCGAGCCTGTATTGGTTTGTGAAAGACACGTGCAGACTTTTTTGTCTTTTTATTCATTTTGCTCTTCAGTTTGTAAACGATGGATGATTTTGAAACTGATCTGTGATCTCCGGTTAGGAGATGTCAGTACTAATGGAGTAGGTTAATGTTTCACATGGATTAACACCAGACAACGTTTGCCTGTTTTTACTGTTCCAAATGATTCTTTTTAAATAACTAATATCATGACTGCTTATTAATACCTAATGAGTGGGAGACAAGTGGATGGGGCCAGGCTCCTATTGGTGGTCCCCAGCAACTGGACAAAGGGCAACAGGTACAAACCAAGCACTGGAACAGGCTGCCCAGGGAGGTAGTGGAGTCTCCTTCTGTGGAGGTACTCCATACCCACCTGGATGTCTATCTGTGTGCCCTGCTGTGGGGAAGCTGCATTAACAGGGGTTGGACTGGGGGATTTTCAGAGCTCCCTTCCAGCCCCCATGGTTCTGTGATTCTGTGAAAGCCTTCATTTCTCTCAGAGGTTCCAGCACTGCAGTATGGCTTGTGGAGGAGAAGAGGATCATACAAGGCAATCTGTCTTAGCGGTAGTTTTATCAGAGAATCTCTCTCCTATCCCTTCTGACTACTTATCTTGTCAGAGTAATTCAGGCTTCTCATAGTTCCCCTGTTTCGCACCGTCTTCTACATTTAGACTTTTTGCCTGCAGCATGTATTCTCCTCCTCTGACAAAGAGCTGAGCTGAGTTTTGCTAAAACTTCCCCTGGAAACACTGCTGTAGGCAAATGCCCAGCATGGATAGCTGCAGTCCAAGTGGCTGTTCTGGTGGGAAATGCTGTTATGTGTACGCAAGGAAACACTTCCAGTCTGCATTGTTTGCAGTGAATGTAAGAGGTAAAAACTGGGAAGTTGCTTAATTTAAATTGTGCTGACTCGAAATCAAGACCTTAAAATAATAATTCAAATTGGATTTGGGTTTTAGTTAACGAGACAAAAAGAGCATCTCTGATGGCAGCGTGCTCTGTTGCAATTTCCCAGTCTGTCTTGAGAAAGAAATTGCTGGGGATGAGCAAGCAGAGAGGCAGGGTTGGCCTTTAGTATTGACGTGCTTCTAAATACTGCTGTAAAGGAGAAATAAATCAATTGGTTCCTTCTCCTGCACAGAACAGCATCTTTCTCTTTCCAAGTTAGTCAGCAAGGAGAAAAGGTGGAGTTGAAGTTCTCCATCCTTTTTACCTTCACTGCTAGGAAGCTAGGAGCAGATCTACCTAAATCAGAGATCTGGTGGAGAAACATGAAGGTTTTTCAGACCTGGTCAGCAATAGTACATTCATTTTAGTTTGTATCTGTAGTTAACGGCCATCTTTATGTATTTTCTTTTGTATTGTACTGCCTAATTTTCTTAAATACTTTCCTGATGTATTTCAGAAAGAAAGACATTTTCAGAATGTTTTATCCCTTTGTATAACAAAGAGAAGAAATCCCTGCTGCAATGATGATCTGAGTTACGTTTATTTTCATCTTACCTGCACCACATGTAAATATGTAGTTGCTTTTCTTTAAGCCTCTCTGTAATGGAGGAGGGCAATTAAGCTGTCAGTATGAAACACATCATCAGACTCCTGATGGCTTCATGTCATGCCCACTGATTATCTGCTACTCCTTCCTTACATAACACATGGCAAAAAGAAGCCTCTTGGCTGATAAACTTGAGGAGGGGAACCTCTGCTTTAGAGCGAAATGAAACGTGTCCTTTTATCTTTGGCACCTGATCTGCTTCCAGTGAGTGAACTCCAAGCATTTCCTTCTGCAGAAGAAATTCTAGCAGCCACAGACAGGAAATTCTAGCAGGTATAAACAGTCTTTATAAAACCTTTCAGCTTTGAGCCGTTTGTAATTGCTTATTGGTTTGACAATAACAAACCTGTGTTCATGTAACAGATCATACACCTTCAGAATGAGTCTTTGTATGCATGCAGCAAGTCTGTGTGTGTTGCATGAAGACTGACTCTGATGTAAAGAACTCAGAGCTGCTGTTCATGTTGGGTATTGGCCAATGGGATAAAATTCCTGCACTGTAAATGTGGAAGCATGTAAAAGCCTGGGTAGTAACGTCATCTCACTGGTTAAACTGCCTGGATTGAATCTGTATGTGGTTATGTTTGCTATAAAATCTCTTGGAATTGCTTCCCCAGTCCAGTGCTTACTGCTATAAATGTCAATTTATGTTGAGCTGTTGAACAGAAAATTCTAAGGATTTGTGGCTATGTGAAAATGAGGCTTGTGACTCGCAGTACTTCACACCTAAGATCTGTAGCAGTGCTACTGACCATAATAGTCTGCAGCTCTGATCTGAAAGTTTTAGACAGTTATCTGTTGAATTTAAATAGCTAAGTGAAGGTGAATTTATTTTCTGTTTCTTGAGCTGTTTCCATGTAGACAATACAAAAAACAAACAAACAAACAAAAAACCAGATAGAATCCCAATGACTGAATCAAGGCTGACGTTTGATATTGCACTAATGAATAAATCATTACCTCTCATTCAGTACGAAGTGGGATGGCAGTGTTTGTGACCCACCTGTAGATGATACATGCACTGTTCCTGCACGTGTCGCAGTTGGCCGTGTCTTGACCGGTCCGATATGAAAGCCTGCAAAGATAAGAACACCAGGTCATTAAAATGTCATTTAAAATATTTTTGCCCTCAGTGAGTGCTTATCGTAGAACTTCAGGAATTGATTATTATTATTTTTTTTATCTTTAATACTTAATATAAAAATCTAGCTATTAGGAGAACGGGATGATAATATTCATCCTCACTGGGGATGATGATTATTTTGGACAACAAGCGACTGATGGTTGGAAGGAGAAAATAAGATTCATTTCAGTTATGTTTTTGTACATTGATGGAATACAAAAGGAAATCTAGTTAAGTGCTCTTCATTTTACATAAAGCCTCTATGTGCCACATGCTGAACCCTCACTGTGAATGGACACAGCTCCTGGTTCTGCTGCGTGGCTTTCTTCTCTTCCCAAATACATACGGCTTCACCTCCTTACTGGTGATCCTAGGCAAGGTGCAGATGGAGCTGAACTTGCGAGGGATGTGAAAGATAACAAGAAGGGGTTCTATAGGTACATAGGCAGGAGGGGACAGACCAAGGAGAGTGTTCCCCCTCTGATGAAAGTAATGGGGAGCTGGCTTCCTCAGACATAGAAGAAGCTGAGGTACTCAATGAGTGCTTTGCCTCTGTCTTCACAAGTGGTCAGGTTTCCCATGTCTGCCAGGACCTTGAGTCTGTAGGTGAGGGTGTGGGGAGTGATTTCTGTCCCACTGTAACAGTGGAACAAATCGGAGTCCTCCTCTTGAAATAGAACGTATATAAATCCATGGGGCCAGGTGAAATTCATCCTAGGGTTCTGAAAGAGATGGCTGATATCCAGGCTGCATGTGGCTCTGGGCAGCCTGATGCACATAGCAGGGGGGTTTGGAACTAGATGACCAACCCCCTGCTGTGTGCAGGGTTGACGACCAGCAGCCCAGGCTGCCCAGAGCCACATCCAGCCTGGCCTTGAATGCCTGCAGGGATGGGGCATCCACAACCTCCTTGGGCAGTCTGTTCCTCACCACCCTCTGGGTGAAAACCTGGCCCTGGTCCTGGGGCCACATCATCCCATCAACTGACATCACTCAGTTCCACATTGGCTTTGCAGCTCAGAGGTGTGCACACTCCTCATCCCCACTGTGGGGACAGCAGGATCTCATCTGTGCTTTCCTCACACAGCAGCAATAGCAAAAACTCCAGCATTTGCAAAAGAGCTGATTTAATTTTCATGTGGCAAAATATCAGACCTCTGTAGAATAAAATATTAATGGAGAACAAGGGACAAGGCATGTGCTTGTCCCTAACGTGGAAATGCAGTTGCTGGCTATTTTTTGTTAACTAACTCCAGGTGATTTATCTCAGCGAGCATGCTGCCTTTGTACGGCTTTGTTGTCCTTCCTTGGAAAACTACCAACTCTTATTATGTTAAAGGTTTGAATATTGTTTTAGAAGTTCATCAGGTTACTTGCATATTTTATATAAAAGATGTTTTTAAGCAGGAAGAAATGTATCAGTGTGACCTTGAAGGCAGAGAGTGGATGTGGTGTTGGCTTAAATCAGGCTTGTCTGCCCAGGAAGGCACTGCTCCAGCCATTGGGAGCACTGGGATTTATAAATGGTGTGGGGACACTGTCATGGCAGAGTGCTCTGCCATGGGGATGGAGCTGCTCAGCACAGCAGTACTGCAGACAGCAGTTAATAGGGCGAATCTGCTGCTTCTGTAAGATAGAGTTTTCTTTTCCCCGTGAAAGAAAAATGCAGGTTAGAGTTCTGGCTGTTCCAGTTGTTGGTGGTTTTGTTTTTGTTTCCATTCTTATTTTATGAGGACTGGGAACATGCTGGATTTAAAACCTGATACCAAGTGATAACGTGCCCTTGGAAATAATTTTTATCTGGAGGAATACACTGAAATTAACTGCACTGCTAAATTTTAGCACAACTACAAAGGCAGACTGGCAAAAGAACTGCGAGTAGAACTCTCTGCGAGGTACCATTCCTTCTGGGGGATAAAGCAGCACTGCTTTGCATTTGCTTGTACTTTTTTGTGCTCTCAGGGGTGAAGTCATTTCTGTTTTGCAGTTCCGCTTTGATTATTTGGAGGCAGGCATTCAGGTTGTCACTGCAGCATTAAACTTGGACTTGTACAATTATTTTTTCAAGCTATTGATCAAATACTAAAAACTCTTAGCAAGGACACAACACCTCAAGTTTACAGATAAGCTGTTGAAAGCCTTTATTTACCGAGGACATAAATGGTAGTTAATAATCGCCTTCAGAGGAATACAGCACTGTTGTCTGAATGCCTCTTTATAGATAAAGACATAAACATGCTGCGTAGGGTGCCAGTTTTTTTCATTAGATGTCAGTTGGGACATTTTAATTCCTCTTTGTAAGCCTGCAAAGTACCCTTTAATATACAGGTAATTAGCTGCCTCAGAGCCTAACAACCTCCTGCTCTGCACCACTCTGCTGTTCCTGCACTGTGCTGCTGGGCTGGGTAACAAGTAGCTTAAGAAGTTTCTCAAAGTCCGGCTTTGGCCCAGAGCTTAGAAATGCTTCAGCAACAAGGGATCAGTCTCAAATAAATTTATTGCCATATTAAAAATCATACAACGTGTCTCTGAATCGTCGTCCTTCGTTTGCTCTGTAATAAGGGCGTATGTCCATGATCACTGCCTTAGTTACTGAGGTGGTTTCATAGAGTTGTGGAATGGCTTGAGTTGGAAGGGTTGTCAGCCACTAGATCAAGTGCTAGATCAGATTGCACAGGGCCCATCCAGCCTGGCTTTGAACATCTCCGGGGATGGGACACCCACAGTCTCTCTGGGCAGCCTGTTGCAGCACCTCACCATTCTCTCAATGAAGAAATCCCCCCTGATACCTAATCTAATTCTTCCCTCCTTCCCATTTCCTCTTGTGCTATCATCGTCTACTTGTGTAAAAAGTTGTTTTCCCTCCTGTTTATATCTCCCTTTGAATATTGGGAGGTCGTAATAAAGTCTCCCCTCAGCCTTCTCTTCTCCAGACTGAACAAATCCAGCTTCTTCAGTCTGTCTTCATAGGAGAGGTGCTCGAGCCCTTGGATCATCTTTGTGGCCCTCCTCTGGAGTCTCTCCAAAAGCTGCACATCTTTCCTGTGTTGGGGTTCCCACCCTTGGTTGCGGTACTCCAGATGGAGCCTCATGTGGGCAGAGTAGAAGGAGACAATTCCCTCCCTGTCCCTGTTGGCCACCCCTGTTCTGATGCAGCCCAGGATACCACTGGCCTTCTGGGCTGCAAGCACACCCTACTGGCTCATGTTGTTAAGTTTTTCACCTACTGAGATCCTTAAGTCTTTCTCAGCAGGGCTCTTCTCAAGGAGTTGTTCTCCCAGTCTGTATACATATCTGGGATTACCCTGACCCAAGTGCAAAACTTTGCACTTCGCTTTGTTAAACCTCATTAGGTTCACAAGAGCCCACCTTTCAAATTTATCAAGGTCCTTCAGGATGGCATCCCTTCCTTCTGCTGTATCAACTGCATCCCTCGGCTCGGTGTCATCAGCAAAGTTGCTGAGGATGCACTTGACCCCGTCATTGATAAAGATGTTAAAAAGTACTGGTCCAAGACCAACCCCTGGGGGACACTGCTCATCACCAGCCTCCACATGGACATACACCAGTTGACCACAACCCTCTGGCTGCAACCTTCCAACCAATTCCTTAACTTTCAAATAGTCCACCCTTTGTATCTCTCCAATTTAGAGATAAGGATGTGCTGGAGAACCGCGTTTACTGACCAGTTACTGACAGCACCATGCCTGTAACATTCTAGTTGTCATGAACTCATTGAATATTCATAGGCTGGTTGCTTATTTAACACAAGTTTGGAAAAGACTTCTTAAGATTCCCATGCCCAGCTCCAGCCCATCCCCACCATGCCCTCTGAGCATGTCCCTTAGTGCCACGTCCCCGTGGTTCTTGAAGGTGCTGACCTTTAAATGCACAGTAATCCCAGATATTCAAGTGTTTAAAAACGTGTCTTAATTGATGGTATTTGGCAGGCTCAACCTGATAGAAATGATACTTGGATATAAATATTAAACATGATTTCACTTTTGGATGATCATTCTGAAACCCCAAATTCTCAGCTGGCATGTTTGGCTCTGCTTGCTTTTAGCCTCATTGCCATTCACCAACTACACTGATATGCAATGCTTTTTTCCTACTCTGATGTAATTTATGATAAACTTTTCTAAAAGTAATATTTTCCTCATTGAATATATTCAGCTTTCTCAGAGGTGATTTTTCTTTTGCACAACAGAGAAGTGATGTTGCCTTCCCTGAATTCCCCTTGCTTTGGATTTCTTTGTAGGAAGCCCTTCCTGCCTGGCCTTACAGCACTTGGTTTCTGTAAGGCAGTGTGATAGCTCTGCAGCCAGTTCTGTGTTGTACAAGTGTCACTCCAGTATGAATTCAATTACATACAAACCAAACTGCTTATGAAATAATTCTGTTGTTTTTACCCTAGGGCTTTGGACTTCTACTTGTTTTTATGCAATTATCTACATAAAAACATGCAAAGAATTCATCTACCTGGTGCCAACAGAGATTTTACTGTGAGAATAGTAGTTCTGCATGTAGATCTCATACAGTGAGGCTGGATTTTAAGTGCAGACAGTGAAAAATAGAGCTGGTTAAGATAGTTATCCTCAGTGCTAAGTGGTGGAGCAGTGTGTGAGCACATCTGGGTATCTGGCTGTGCTGTGTGAGATGGAGCATTTTGAATAAAATCCTTCCTTGTCTCCACTTAAAAATAATTTAATAAGATGATTCCAATTTGGAAGAGGTCAGGCTACAGACTGCTCAATTTTTTCTTCACTGGTGAACTCACAGATATTTTTCAGTATTTATTCAAGCCTGTAAAATGTGATGTTTTCCCAGAAAATAAAGATTGCTACAGAACGTTTGTTTTCTTCTTAGAGAACTGAAAGTTGGCTTCGGTCTGCTTGAGGCTCAAAGCAGAGCCCTTCACTCTGCACTGAATGAGATGCCTGGGAGCCAGG